TCCTAGCTCACAGTAACCTCAAACTCCTGGGCTCAAGCAATCCTTCTGCCTCAGCCTCCCGAGTAGCTGGGACTACAGGCATGCGCCACCATGCCCGGCTAATTTTTTCTATGTATTTTTAGTTGTCCAATTAATTTCTTTCTATTTTTAGTAGAGACGGGGTCTCACTCTTGCTCAGGCTGGTCTCGAACTCCTGAGCTGAAACAATCCGCCTGCCTCGGCCTCCCAGAGAGCTAGGATTACAGGCGTGAGCCACCGTGCCTGGCCTCCTTCCTAAATTCTTGATCCTCACACTGACCCAAGAAAACGCCCACAGCTAAGGAGCAGTTGCACCGTTCATAAACAAAGGTAAAAGTGAGCCCTGGTATATTCAGGCCTCAAGTACAAGACAAACGAGAACCTTGAAGGAAGCTGCTGAATCACCCTGTGCAGCTTTTACAGCCAGAAAGCCCGTGGCTCCCAAGGAGTCTGAGGCAGGACACCCCGCCCCCACCGCCACCCCAGAGTCCTCAGCAAGTAACTTACGAAATTTAGTAAAGTGCAAAGAACACTGAAGTCACCGGTCAGTCCCAGATCCTCTTTGACTTGCAAGATGACCTTGGCCGCGCTGACAGCCTGGTGCAGGTCATGGTACTCCCTGATCTGCCCAACCCGCTCCCGGACCCAGTCCCTTTGGCTCTGGCTGTCCACAGCACACATGATCTGGAGCTCTGTAGTCAGTTCACTGTACTTATTCACAAAGTCCTTGAAGATGACATTGATTTCTGCAAAGGTGACCTCTCCTGACTTCAGATCCTCATAAAGTGCGACGAACTTTTCGTAACAAGGACGATACAGACCATCGTACGCCTCTGCGAGCTGCAGTCTTTGCCTTTCTGATTCTTCTTCAGCCTCACCCAGCCCCTCGGCGGCGTCCTTCCAGAAGATCTGGAAGATGTGGCTGTCTTTTAGCAAGTCTATCTTTTCAGCCATTTCTCGGACCGGGGGGCTCAAGCGGTAGTGTGTCGTGATCGGCTGGTACGTGGCGGCCGGCAGTCTCACTGTCACGACGTCATGCAACCTTTTACGGCTGAGGTCCTCTGAGTGTCTTCTTGCAACCTCTCCAAAGTCCACTGTAGAAACAATAAGAGCGTGTCGGAAGTCAGAGCTCTGATAACGACAGCATTTCATCCTACCTTCCCAGTGTTACCGTCCCGGCTTCTCTAAGGACACTCACACGAACACAGTTGCTCAGTACGAACGCACGGGTCTGCCCTTGCCTGGGCGGAGTCGTCCATCTCCATCGTAAAGAAAGCATCATGGTTCCCAGTAAAGATGATAGTTTGAAAACACGCATCTTTTTCACTCTCTCCCAAATCCCACTCCAATGACAATAAACCAACAAGGATGGGAGGAGGAGCAAAAAAGGGGAAATCAGCAACAAAATTTGCAAGTTGAGAACCAGTGGTAAATGACATATTAGGCCTGAGAACACAGAACCCTAAGGCCATAGCAGGGAAAGCTGAGGTCAAGCGGTCTCTATCTCGGGATTCCCTAAAAGCGCAGACACCGGTTGCACAGGTCATTGGAAGCTGGGAGGCGCTGATGAAATAAGGTGGCCGGGTTCAAAGTCTGTTTAAGATGTGGTGCAGTATAGCAGTTTTCACCCCTGCCTGGTCACACAGCAGGTGGGTCCCCCATCCTGCACCCTGGCAGGCGATAGGTGGTTTATTTTCTACACAGGATAATGCAGAGGGTTCTCAATTGGAAGTCATAGATATATAGTGAAAAAAGGCATTTCTAGACACACACCCTTTTCAGGAAGCAAACAGAGGACACGCACTGCAGCCCAGGAGTAGGGAAGGGAGGATGAGAGGGGCAGGCAAAGGGGAGAAAGGAGGGTGGGGGGCCCACTGAACACAGGGCTGCGGGAATATGGCCCACGGGTGCCGAGGCCTCGCCAGCCCTCTTCTCCCTCCTGGTTCCCAGAAACCTGGCGCAGGCAGGAGACCAGAAATCTGACCGGCCCAAGAGAGAGACCTTGAGACACACCAGCTAAAAGGCAGAGCCTCGGCCCCTAGGGCGGCACGAAGTCCAGAAGGCTGCTCAGGCCTGCAGTGTCCAACCCACGTGTCAGGGATCTCTATTCATAAAAACAGACAGACAATTCCAGACACAGGAGGAAAGTCAAAACAAACCAGTAGACGAAAGTCGCCCGGAGGAAACAGGAAACTATGCAAGGGAAAGAAAAAGAAAGCCTCTAAAGCAAAATGTTAGTAATCTCAGATAGATAAGTTATTGCAACGACCATGAGCAAGAGCAGGATAATATTTAAAAAGGATTATTCAGAGAAAAAAAAGAATTCCTTTAAATTAAATATACACATGAGGGCTAAAAAAGAAATTTAATGGACAGTTTGGAAGACCAAGTTCTTAGGAAATCTCTCGGGAAGCAGAGCGAAAAGCAGAGACGGGAAATAGAAGAGAAAAATGACGAAAGTTAGACGACCGTTCTAGGAGGTCTGACGTCCACCGTGAATCTCACCAAGAGAAACAATAAATAATTGAAGAGAATTTCCCAGAACTCAAGGACTTAGATTTCTACATTAGAAAGACCCACCTACTAATCCCCAATACAGTAGATGAAAAATAGATCCATGCCAAGGCACATTACGAAATTTTGGAATATTAGGGACGGAAAGATCTCAAGAGCTTCCCGAGAGGGGAAGATATTTCATGCACAAAGGATCGGGAATTCGCATCGCATCAGACTGCTCGACGGCCACACTGCGGAGACAACAACGGAAAACAAGCTCGACCTTCCGAAGGAAGATGATTTCCTGCCTGTAGTTCTATACACAGACGATGGACCTAGGGAGAGGGCAGGCACTCTCAGGCACACGAAGACTCAGGTGACAGAGGACATGTTCTACCAAAACACCGCCGGCAGAGAGCAAGCGAAGGAGACAGGAATGAGACTCCAACTCCGGAGAGAGGCAGAGGCGGAGCCAGCAGGTGAAGGAAGACTTCAGGACTGCGTCTCCAGGCCAGTTTTGGCAGATTCCTTCTCAAAGAGCAAACTGATTGTCTTCAGAGGAAATTCAGACAGTGGGTAGAGTTTGGGATTGAATTAGAAATAAATACAATGAACACAAAGCAAATGACAAGAAATGTAATTCTATGGACAACAGTTTGTGCAAGAAACGTATTAACGAAAGGATCATTTCGGTGTACTTGATGGCTCACTTGTGAACAGTGTATTTACACAGTCAGGATGATTTAAACCCTGAATCTTGATCCATCTCAAATCACGACATGGCGGGGAGTGGCGGCAGTGGGAAAGGTTAGTCTGCAGGGTGCGGACCGGACACGCAGAGATCTAAGCCCTCGTCGTCCACACTGGGACGTTGATAAGATGCTGACAGTGGAAAAATCCAGGAGACGTCCGCATGTTATTGAGAGACATGCAGGTAAGTACTGCACGTCTCTCCAGAAGAGGTGAAACCAGTACCTCTGGTGATGCACAAGTAACTTTGTTAAAAATTTTTGTAGGAAGCTTCCCTCCAAAATAAAGCTCCGCGATCGCGATTCATTTGTATTGTATTCTCCTCTGACCCTCTGCCCTTTGAGACCACCCAATTTCGTTTACTTCCATCTTAAGAATACCACCTTGTACCAGGTGTTTCACGTTCTCGCACAACTTCAGCAGACCGTCAACGTATCTTTTCTCCTTCTTTAGAAAAAGTAGTTCGTCCTTTCTCCAATCCAGTACTTTCTTCATATCAGATACTTTCTCCTGGGGTGAAAGACTTTTTTCCTCTGGAAAACAACAGCAACAACAAGGTTAACCCAACAGACGGGATCCACACGGTTTCCCAGTGGTCGTTTCTGCCGCCTCCTCCGCAGGTGCTCCCCGCCGCGAGCAGCGTCAGCGTGCCCAGCCGGCGCTTGCGGCATAGAGGAAAAACAGCAAGAGCTCTTGGTTTTCCATTGTTTTATCCCTTCCATGATTTCCCTGAGAATTACAAACCAACCCCTATCAACCCACTGGCAAAAGCTACTGGCTATAAAGGCTAAAAAACTCCCCTCTTTACGAAAATGCACACGCAGACACAAACGTTTCCTCTCCTTGTAGTTCCTCAGCAGCCTGAAGCGCGTTCCTCAAATTGGTACTTACTGAGTTGCCAGATGTCAAGAAACTGATTCTTGTGCTTCATGATCAGCTCTAGCTGCCCGACGGAAACCGTTCCATTTAGGAGGTCACCAGCAACTTTTGTGAACACAGAGTCAGCAGTGGCCATCAGATTCTTGCCATCCTCTGTAATATTTGCTAATATTTTCTTTTCGGTTCCTGATCGGATTAAGAACACGGTCAGGACAGCAGGCTCCCGCCTCCCACCCCATCGTGGTTAGCGAGGGAATTCCCAATAACCTCTTGCTGCTTTGCCCGACGTCTACACAACACAAGCAAGAGTCAGGCAGTACTTCCACGTGTGCTGATCACTTCCCCGGTTTCGCTTTTGCCCATGAGGGTCACGTCCTACCCAAATTCATCTCCTGAACGACCTCCTTGTTCATAAAGAGGATCCCCCCGACGGGAATCAGTCAGGAGAACCATCTTTCTTAGGTTTTTAAAACTTGTGCCCCCTTCCGCGTACGGAGTATATTTCTTAGACAACAGTAATCTTTAAACCCCCCCATTCTGAGCACACCTGTCGCAGCAAACTGTACCAGGGATGCAGTCACGCCCAGCAAAGACCAACGAGCTGGTTTTAAGGGGACATTTTCACAGCATATAGAAAGAGAGAAATATCAGTGTGACAACGTAACGCTCTGCACCTCTTAGCTGTCTTGCAAATCTTGCAATGGGAATTTTAGGATCAATTTCGAGGGCGGAATTTTTAAACATGCTTAGTTTAAACACCAGAATATTTCTTTCCCAGTTAATTAGAGTCATACAGTATCAGGAGAAGACTAAGCTTATCTCTACCGTTAAAAACAAATATAGCAGCTTTATTCTTAATTGCAAAAAGTTGGAAGCAACCAAGATGTCCTTCACTAGGTGAAGTGGATAAGCAAACTGTGGGCCATCCAGACAATAGGATATTATTCAGTGATAAAAAGAAATGACCAGGCGGGTGTGGTGGCACGTGCCTATAATCCCAGCACTTCTGGAGACTGAGGCAGGAGGGTCACTTGAGGCCAGGAGTTCAAGATCAGCCTAGGCAACACAGTGAGACCCCATCTCTACAAAATAAATTTTTAAAAAATTAGCCAGGCATGGTGGCTTGCACCTATAGACTCAGCTACTCAGGAGGCTGAGGCAGGAGGACTGCTTAAGCTGAGGAGTTTAAGGTTACAATGAGCTATGATCTCGCCACTGCACTCCAGCCTGGGCAACGGAGCAAGACCCTGTCTCTAAAAAAAAAAAAAATCTACCAAGCCATGAAAAGACATGGAGGAAACTTAAACCCATGTTGCTTAGTGAAAGAAGCCAATCTAAAAGCCTATATACTATTGGATTCCAACTACAGCACATTCCGGAAAAGACTAAAGGGGAGGGAGGAAGGGTGGCAGAGCACCGGGGATTTGTAGGGCAGTGATGTAATGCGGTACTGCGTGTGTGATGGGGAGATGTCTGAGAACCCCGTACTTTCTGCTCAATTTTTCTGTATACCTACAACTGTTCTAAAAAAGTTTACTAATTTAAAAAACACAAATATAATCTTTTCAAGTGAGTAGCTTTTACTAATGTGTACTGCTCTCCCGCATGGATGATCTTATAAACGTTGTATCCCCACAACCGCCCTGACACGCAAGGCGCTTAGGGTTTTTTGGCTGTCCCAGTCAGCTGATGAAACTGGGACAATCATCCAACCTGGAAGTTTTAGTTCCAAATCCAGTGCTTTCCCACTAAAAGATCTGAATCTAATGTCTTACTCATAAACTTGATTATAACATTTTTAGGCCAATATGTCTCTCTCCTTCTTGGATCACAAAATACTTGGGACACGGGGGCGGGGTGAAAGAATCAGACAATACAGCACGTCACTGTCTGTTGAGGTCATCAGTACTGGGATGGACATTCTTCACTGATCTCCGCAGAACACAGAATGGTTTGAGAGCAAGACACGCTTGGGTTTGGATGTCATAATACTAATGGTTCTTAATAGTTACAATCATTGAGACCGTGGGTAACTCCCATTGCATTCTCCACTTCTGTTTCCTCCTCTGGAAATTGGAAGCGTTAAAAAGGCCATTTAGAAAGCGCTATTTCAAGGGCACTGGGTCAGCACAGTCGCTGGTGTACAGTAGGCATTCAGCAAGTGGTGGCTTTTAGTACCACTTACTGTTTACAGTGCAAGACATCGGAGCCTTCCTGGATCTCTGTCCAGTCTGCTTCCTTTATCAAACATCAGCCCATCCCCACTATTAGCTCAAATACTCTGCCCCCCGTTGCTCCCCAAGGTCAAGAGGACACCAGCTACACTGAGATGATGTTCCCAGCACCCCCTTCTCCCACCAAAACGTACCACACAATTTGAAAAGATGCTTGACATCCGGCCACGTGAGCAGGTGCTTCAAAATTTCATCCAAGTCCTCCACGGCCTTCCCTCTGTTTCTCGGCCAGGACTTGGCGATCACGGCAGACACCAGGGTGCCAAATTTCTGCAAATCGTGATGAGAGATTCCCTCGAGGATACTGGTCTGCGACTATAAGAAAATTAATAAAAGAGGGAAATTTAGAAGTTTTTTATTGGTTTGTTTTTAGATGACGGAAGTAAATTACTCTCCAACAGCATTTCAGAAATGTATTGTAACTAGCATTACAAAGCTTCAAAAAAGTAAAGCAGTAAGATACCTAACGTTTCTCAAAGCATCTTCATTTCCCTGTGTACCGTCTCCTTGAGCTCAGCACACACCAGTACAACCCACAAATCACATTCCCTCCTTCCAGCTCACATTTTCAACATTTCTGGCCAGTTTCTACATTTTTCCTGGACTTTCATGTCATGAAAAATACTGAAAAAGAATAAACCTTTAATATATCATGTATTTTATGTTCCTGAACTGTAATTCTTTTAAAAAACTGCCTACAAACAACACATATGTTTTAATTCCCTTTCTAATTCTCCACCAAGAGGGAAAATGTTTTTCTCTTTTAGGACCAAAGCTTTGCAAAAAGTTTCAGTAATTAGCCAAAAAACACACGGTGAATTTACAACAGATACTTCCTGACATTTAAAAGAATAAAAGAAAACCTTATCCAGAAACATATATAAAAAAAGAATTGTATACCATGACCAATTAGAACTTATCCCAGGGACGAAAAGTTGATTTAACATCAAATATCAGTTAATGTTAATAGAAGAAAATCATGTGGCCAGGCGTGGTGGCTCACGCCTATAATCCAAGCACTCTGAGAGGCCGAGGTGGGTGGATTGTTCAATCTCAGGAGTTCAAGACCAGCCTGAGCAAGAGCGAGACCCTGTCTTACTAAAAATAGAAAAAATTAGCCAGGCATGGTGGCGCATGCCTGTAGTCCCAGCTGCTTGGGAGGCTGAGGCAGAAGGATCGCTTGAGCCCAGGAGTTTGAGGTTGCTATGAGCTAGGCTGACGCCACGGCACTCTGGCCTCAGCAATAAAGTGAGACTCTGTCTCAAAAAAAAAAGAAAAAGAAAATCACGTGATCAGTTCAATAGACACGGAAAAAGCATTTGACAAAATCTAACTCCCTTTGTCATAAAAAACACTCAACAAACTAGGAATAGAAAGGAACTTCTTCAACCTGATAACAGGCATCCACGAAAAAGCCACAGCTAACACCCTACTCAGTGGTGGAAGACAGAAAGCTGTCCCCCTAAATCCAGGAACAAGGCAAAGATGCCCACTTTTGCCACTTCTATTCAACGCTGTACTGGAGGCTCCAACCAGGACAATCAGGCAAGAGAAAGAAATATAAGGCATCCAGGTTGGAATGGGAGACGCAGGGCTCGAGGTGATCCGCTAGGAAAGTGGAGCAAGAGAGCCGCGAGCCGCAGGGAGCTTCCGCCACGTGGTATCACATGGGAGGCTGCTCCTCCCAGGCCGCGGAGCAGAATCTCCTCCCACTTTGCAGGAAAGAACTAAGTAAATCGATAGAACCTTTTCAACTTCACGCATTCGCCTTCCATGAAGGTTGAGTCAACCTTTGGAGCGTTTTGCTGCATATTCACGAAGCAAGTGTCAACAGACAATAAAACAAACCAGCAGCCACAGCAACAACAGGGACGTTTGAGGGGTGGCCTGCAGGACTGTTTGACTCGACGTCACATGAGAACAGCTGTGATTGCACACGGCACGCAACAGCCATCCCAGCGGTGGAAGCTGAGTGGCATTTCAGGGAGCCAGGAGAGACCCCGGGGTTTCGGCACCATCCCCCAGGCGGGGGACGGTATGCCCACTCCCATTCCCCGAGTCTGACCAACGACAGAACAGAGCTGTGGACCCTGGTACGGTTCCCAAGTAGGAGACGTTGGTCACCTGGCAGGCTGAGCTCACGGCTTCGATGACACACTTCTCAAAGCTCTTGGCCACACTGTCCTCTAAGCCTGCGGTGTCCCAGCGCGAGTTGCAGTAGGCACGGATCTGCAAGAGAGGCCTCTCCTGCGGAGATGGAACACGGGTTAGGAGCTTTTGCACGCTGCGCTCTGATGGGGGGAAGTGCCCGGGCGTTTTCACTTTCCCGCCACTTTCCCAGTTTCCCGTGATTTTAACCTCCCTACCCCGCACCGAGCATGTCCTCCCCACCTCCCGCCATCGGACCAGCAAGGCTAAAATTAAAAGAACAGTCTCTTTTCCAACTGCACAGAAAAAGAACCCGGCACAGCAGCTTACAAAAACAGGTAAATTGTGAGAAATAAGTCATTTTTCCTTAAAAAGATCCACTGAACAGTTACACATAAAGCTCTCACGTAAAAACTCATTTTCCTAGGGCCACAGGCCTTAATTCAAAATGAAGGGCTTGTCCGTGTTTCGTCCACTCATCCCTGTGTTTGGGAGGCTCCTGACAGCCACAGGCCACTGGAGCCGCTGCCTGTGGGTGGGCTCGACCCCATACGTGCCTGGGGGCCCCGTGACAGCAAGATCCTGTGCCCCCGCTATTCTCGGCACCATCACGACAGAGCTGTGCGACATCCTTCTGGGATCAGAAACAGAAACGCGGCGGCGTGATCCATCCGCGCCTGCGCGCGGAAACGCCGTCCGCTCAGACGCACCGCTCACATCGCTGGTTGTTGCCAAGGGCCTGGTGGCATCCACCTCTGCTTCCCTCCCCCCGGAAAGAACGTCCCCCGACTTTGGGTACCTGTTTGAGCCGCCCTTCCAAGTCTCCCAGCAACGACTCCTTCCAACCGTGCTCCACAGGGAAGTTTATTTCCACCAGCCGCCGCCAGACCTGAAAAACCCGCACACAAGTCACAGCCACTGTGACAACCGAATGCCTCAGTGTGAGCCTATGACAAGAGAAAGGCAGACCGTCACGATGAGGCGGAGAGCACAGGCCTACAGGGACACCGGGCCCCACCTCTGCCACCAGTGAGCTGTGCCAGCGTCAAGTCCCGGCGGCTCAGCTCAGCCTTCTAGAGCCAGGGCCCTGATGCATCCGCACCCGTCTCCGCGCTTCCTGCTGCGCAACTGCTTTCTATGCTGGAAGCATTTGCTTCCGACACTTTGAAAAATTTCAAACTTACAAAAAGGTTGCAAGGGCCGGGCGCGGTGGCTCACGCCTGTAATCCTAGCACTCTGGGAGGCCGATGCCAGTGGATCGCTCGAGGTCAGGAGTTCGAGACCAGCCTGAGCAAGAGCGAGACCCTGTCTCTACTAAAAATAGAAAGAAATTATTTGGACAGCTAAAAATATATATAGAGAGAAAAAATTAGCTGGGCATAGTGGCGCATGCCTGTAGTCCCAGCTATTTGGGAGGCTGAGGCAGGAGGATCTCTTGAGCCCAGGAGTTTGAGGTTGCTGTGAGCTAGGCTGATGCCACGGCACTCTAGCCAGGGCAACAGAGCCAGACTCTGTCTCAAAAAAAAAAAGAAGGGAAAAGGGCTTCACTTCAGAAACAGGACGTGTAGCCAACTGCGCAGGGCGGCACCTGGTCCAAAAGCCAGAGGTGCTCACGTTTCACACGGACTACGAGACCGAAATCTCTCACCGGGAACGATCACGAGGGGGCCTGTGGTCCTTCTGACACTCTGGAAGCTCACCTGGCTGAAAAGGTACAACCTTCGCAACTGCTGGGACGCAGGAGAGACAGAACGGCGTGAAGAGCGAGGCAGAGCAGGTGGGACCCTGGCCGCCCCTTCCCGGGCCCTCTCCAGCCGCCCAGGCCAGGCCACTCCGGCCACACTGAGAACCTGCTGCCGGCTCATGCTCACAGGGTCACCAGCGACCGTTTTGCAAATCCAGCAGCTTCTGCATCCTCGCTGCCCTTGTCTGTACCGCGATTCTGCCCAGCGTGTCTCTCGGTGGAAACCCTCCCCACTCCCCACCTTCTTGTGCTGGCTTCTCTTTTCCTCACATTCAGATCAGACCCAGTCTTGCCCAGTCTCTCCTCAAACAGCTCTTCCTTTCACCTTCTTCCTCCACCTCCAAGGTCATGACCTAACTCATCACCTCAGTACCGAGGTGCGCCCAGGCGCTGTCCTGCACGCCACCGCCGCGGAGCACCTGTCCCGACATGGTGCACCCTCGCCACCCCCGGGCACCACGGCCCAGCCAGGGCACAGACAGCAGCATTTACACCTGGCGTCTCCTGTCTGCCAAGGAAGGACCTGCCGGGGGACGGCAGTGCCCCCACTTCACACGTGAAGCCTCACAGCGGCCCTGGCTGCCAGCCCGTGGCCGCGACTCTCCACAAGGTCACGACGGACCACGGGCACGTCATCTTCCTGCTCAAAAGCCTTCAGCGGAGCTTACCTCAATTTCCTCGGAATAAGTGAACGAGACGGGTAAACGATATGTCTCCTGGAACATGTTCTTTTTAAAGGTTCTGCGGAGCCAAGTTCTCGTAGTGGTGAGAGCGCCCTGGGAGACCGTTGGAACCAAACTCTTCCCGGTTTCATCCCCGAGTCCTCCTGAATCCTGTCATCACACAAGAGAGGTGGCTGAGTGGCCCTCCGCGCTGGGATGCACAGGCTATCCTCGAGGCCCCCACGCTGCCGCTCCTCTGGCACTCGCGGTGGGTGCTCGGGACGCAGCCTCACGGGAGGGACACACAGGCCTGGTCGGAAGCCCACCTTTCAAAAGCACTTTCAGTGCTTTTGGGGTTCCAGTGCTTTTGGGGTTCACCCCTGAAAGAGGGTGACACAGGAGAGAAGCAGGGGAGATGGAATGGTGTTAACGTCCTCCACTGCAGGCCCCGGGGCAGGGAGAGTCCAGGTGGACCCCCAGGCTCTGACCTGAGGGGGACAGAGTGGGCGAGGACAAGCACCCCCAATGCAGAACTTCCAGAGAAGCCCAGACAAGCGTGCGGGGCAGACTCCCCAGGCCCTTGCTCCTCAGTGACACGGAACAGCCGGTCCGTTGGCCAAGAGGCAAACCGAAGTCCCCTCCCATGGCCGCCTGCTCTTGGTGAGGCAGCTCCCTTCATCCCCCGACCCACAGGATAGCCCTCTTCCCCGGGGGCTCAGGCTCTAGTGATGCCTCCGTCCTCCCCCTGCCCCGTCCCTCCTCCTTCCCTCCCTCCCTCTGTCCCTCCCCCTTTCCTCAGGAGAAGCACACTGACCACAAACACACATAGCTCGGGCACCAGGGCCGCCGCCCCCGGGAGGAGCCCTCACCGTTCTGTGCTGGTGTGTTCTCTGTCTTAAATACAGGCCTCAACCTGGACCTGCTGGTGACCCTCCCTAGACCCTCGCTGGGCACCTCGAGGCTGGGGGGGCGGTGTGGTGGCTGAGGAGGAGCTGGCCAAGAGTGGGAGGGACGAACTGTCCACAGGTAGACAGGTAGACAGACGTGATCGCTGACCATGGCAAGTTCCGGCAGGAAGGAAAAATACAGGAAAGTGTTTTCAAAAGGCGTAAAAGGGGGCGGCAGGAGGAGACCCGGCCTGCCGGCAGAGGGAGGGCAGGGGTAGGCACAGTGCCCAAAGTGCTTTTGAAAGGTGGGCTTCTGACGAGGCCTTTGCGTCCCTCGCACGTGGCCGGGAGAGCACAGCCCACGGAAGGCCACGCGGGGTGCAAGGGGGGCTCTCCACTGAAAACCGAACAGGAACTGCCTTACGGTCCCCGAATGGCGCCGCACCTCCTAGAACCACCCGGAAGCCTCAGCATGGCATGTCCGTCCCTGTGGTCTTGCCCTTGCCGAGAACCCGACTTCATCCCCAGGCATCCCCTTAACTGCAGCGACGGCCACTCCCACGCCACTCCCACCTCCGTACCCACTGCGCCCAGCACGGGTCCGGCACAGGGCTCAACGGCTGCAAACGCCACGAGCCCCCCAAGGCTGCACGTGCACCCCAGACCCTCCTGCTGCGCTCCCGGGGTCCCCCCAAGTGCCTGGCAGTCCCGCGGCATTGTGCGGCAGCATCCACCCAAGAGGTCTGCAGACACTCGTCATATATTTTTGCTTTAATTTTAGCATTTCAAAGTTTTTTCTTTGTTTCTACGGCACAAGCAGAGTACTTTGACCGTGACGTGGATCAGACTAATCCGAGATCCCAACACTGAAGATAGTTATTTCTGCAAAAAACATATCCCAAATATCCCTTAATTCAAAACTGGAAAATTTCTTAAACGGTTTATTTGGAAGCTGGCGCCTGCCTGTGGTGGTTGAAATAGGACCCGCTCCTGGAGAAAGGATTATGTTGCAGTGATACTTATTGTTAAAGTGTGTTTGTGGTATTTCAAAGAAGAAAAACTGAAAGGAATGAAGGTTAAACGTAGATTTGTTTTCTGTCACTAAAGTCACAGTTCTGACTTGAATAAAGTTAAAAAGACAAACGGCCCGTCTAGATAGGAACCTTTCCTCACTTTCACAGCGAGGCTCGGAAACCAAGCCGGGACTGCAGAGCAGAACGAAAAGGGAACCACCGGTACACGCGACAACGCGGCCGGATCCCAGAGACAGGACGTCGCGTGAAAAGTGGGACACAGGACGCGAGCTCTGGTGGGAGAAATCGGGAGGGCGGCGCCTTCACAGGGGCGTGGACGGCGGGCGCGGAGGAGCAGGGTCCTCCTGCAACCGGTCGGGGCCTGGTGCACGGGTGTGCGCCTGGGGACACGTGGGTGGCCTTGCGTGCCTGGCTACTGCATTCAAGTTGCGATGTAAAGACGCAAGCACGCGTGGGAAGGACCGTGCATCCCGTGCGTTTTGGGAGGAACATGGTCCCCACGGTTCACTGTGAACAGCGGAGCCCGGGAAAGAGGAAGGTCATCGTGCAGGCAAGGCCTGGCCGAACAGCTCTCCCGCCTCCGGGGGCCACCTGAGGACCACACAGGAACTCCCTCCCTCCCTCCCCCCCTGCCGCAGGAGCACGAGGAGGCGGAGCACACCCCCAGACACCCTCCGCGCTCAGGGCGGAGTCTGCATCGCATGGGAGCCGGACATGCGCCTCACTCTCATTCCAGCCACCCTAGAATTAAGTCCATTTCCTTTGTCGTCGAGGCTGCTTGAAATTCCACAGCGACCCTGGGCACGACGTCAGGTGTATCGACCCCACTTACCACCGCAGGCTGAAGTGCAACAACACAGCAAACGATCTCGGCCGACAAGGCAGGAATCTGGTAAAACCTCTCGTTTTTGGTGACGCTGCAGATGGCCTCGTGCAGCTTCAGGCACACACTCGGGTAGGACTGTGACAGGGTCTCCTCGGGAATGCTGCCGCGGAAAGAGTGAAGAGAAATCATTGAAGCAATTTGGGAGAAAGGAGAAAACGGTACCCAGTACCGATAACCCAGTCCCTTCCCTTGAAGATAACCACAAGGCTGTCATTTGACCTCATCTGGGTAAAAATCGGGAAAATTTTTCAATCGGTCTTTAAGAAGTGACTAAGATAGAACAGAAATAAAGTCCTTTCGTTTTGCCTCTGTAGTCTGAACTGTTCTAACAACAGCAAGTTAAAATATTTCTAAGTGCATTCCCTTATTTGAAAATAAGCAAGGGACATATATTACTAAATATTAAAATACTACGTAAATTTTTTAAAATATTCAGAAAGAAAACAGGCAAAGGGGGAGAAAGAGAGCAACGGCAGGAGAGCGTGCGGCGTGTGTGGCATTGCCCCGATTCTGCCGACCGGGCTTTGCGCTTCCTGACTCATGGGGCAGAGCTGGGAGGTGGCGGGAGGGTGAAAAGGCGGATTGGGAGGCGCTATGAGGAAGGACTCGCTGGGGTGAGTCTGGGACACACAGCGCTGGGGGCCCTGGAGTCACAGGTGCTAGCCACGGATGGAGACACGGCACTGCCACCTCCCTCCTGAGCACCTGGGAAGGAAATGCTGGAAGGGCCCTGAGAGTCCGAGAGTATGTGGCACCCACTCTGACGTTTCTGTTGTTCTGCATTCTGCAGACTCACGCTACAGGGTGTCAGAGGACACACAGACTTGCAGAAGCAAATGATCTCTGATAATTACGTAAAGCTACCTTTGATTTTTATTTTCAGCTTTACATGCTTTGCAAAAACACATCTAAAGACTAAATGTTAAAGAAATGCAGTACACAAACATGAATACGATGATCGCTTAAAAATAAGTGGAAAAATGTATAGGAAAAAAAGGCCAGATGGAAATAAACCAAAATCTCAGCCCCTGACATCTACCACATCTGACGGCTGCAGGGAGAAGCAGGCCAAGCGCTGACCGTTACCTTCCTGCTACGCGGCCAGCGCGGGGCTCGCCAGCAGGACAGTGACCGCGCAGAGCCCTGGAGCGTGAGAGGCTGCGCTCGCTTTTCTACTTACTTGTTGTGGTAAGCGTCCAGGAGGTGCAACAGCATTTTTAAAATGCTTTCAACATCCTAGGGTGGTGAAGGAAAGACAAAGAGGAAAGAAGATTAATCACGACACCGCTGTCATTGCGAAAAACGGAGCTGGAAAAAATCCAACGTACGTAAGATATAAATTCTTTTCTTCTTACAAATTTTACAGTGCTCATACACCAATCTTATATCTCTCACAAATAAAACTCAAGATTTAAAATTATTTTCTCCACCCAAAAAATGCGAAAGGCAAGATGGCAGCTACAAAGCACATCCCACGCACTATCGCGTCGGCCCTGCGCCGTCAGAAATAACAAAAGGCCACTGTCTTCTTGAATGGCTCTTACTGAAACAGAACAAACTCAAGGGAATCAACCTTTAGCCCTAACAAATAATGACTTCTCCCGATTCTCTCGTTTCTTGGTGCTTCACCCTGTCTGTTTTTCAGAAAAGGAGGACCGCGAGCTTTCGATGCCTACTTTTCAATCTGCTTTTGCTAAGCAAGGACTCAAGAGACGACAGACCTCCAGATTTCGGTAAGAGATTTCCGTAAGTCCTCGCAGGCGGTAGTAAGTCCCCACAAGACAGTCCAGGACACCAGCAGGAAAATGACCCAAGTATTCAATGAAGCTCTTCATATACTGAACCAAGTCACTCAGAGGCAGCAGGCTAAACCAGGATCGGAAGAGATATTCGTCTACATTCAGCAAATGCTTCTCCCCCTCCATAAACTGAAGTATTTGACTCCTGCATAAGAGAAACGGGGACAGAGAAATAGGATGCAGTGAGATCAGTAAAACAGGCGGAGTTAAGACAAATGAAAATAGTGCTGGGGGCTCTAGAAGTCCAGATTTCAAAAATGATTTAAATGGGCCACATGCGGCGGCTCACACCTGTAATCCCAGCACTCTGGGAGGCCGAGGCAGGAGGATTGCTTGGGGCCAGGAGTTCGAGACAGCTTGAGCAAGAAAGAGACGCCACTCTACCAAAAATAGAAAAATTAGCCAGGCGCATTTCCCTGAAGATTAGTGATGCTGAGCATTTTTTCATATACCTGTTGACAATTTGTATGTCTTCTTTTGAGATGTCTATTTAGCTCATTTGCCCATTTTTTAATCAGATTATCATTATTTATTTATTTATTTATTTATTTTTTGCAGTTGAGTTGTTTGGGTTCTTTTAATCCCGTATTGCATGAATAGTTTGCAAATATTTTCTGCCATTCTGCAGGTTGTCTCTTCACCCTGTTGACAGTTTCCTTTGCTTTTCAGAAGGTTTTTGGTTTGATATAATTCCATTTTTTTTTCTTTTGTTATCTGTGCTTTTGAGGTCTTATCCATAAAATCTCTGCCCAGAACAATGTCCTGAAACATTTCCCCAATGTTTTCTTCCAGTAGTTTCATAGTTTCGGGTCTTGCATTCCAGTCTTCCATCCACTATGAGTTGATATTTCGTATTTAGTGAGAGATAAGGGCCTTGTTTCATCCTTCTGCATGTGGATATCCAGTTTTCCCAGTGTCTTTTATTGAAGAGACTGTCCTTTCCCCAGTGAATGCTCTTGGCACCTCTGCCAAAAATTAGCTCGTTATAAATACATAGATTTAGTTCTTGGTTCTCTGTTCTGTTACATTGGTCTACGTGTCTGTTTTTATGTCAGTACCATGCTGTTTTGGTTACTGTAGCTTTGTAGTAGAATTTGAACCGCAATAGTGTGATACCTCCCGCTTTGTCCTTTTCCTTCTTGTGGAAGAAAAACTTTAACTGCTGTTGCAAAAAACATCTGTATGAAGTAGAAGCTGGTTCCAACAAACATAACATTAGTAAAGAATATATTCTAGAAAGTGGAGGTAACTGGATTTAAAATTCTGGCAGCAATTTAATAGAACAGTCCCAGATGGTTAGGCTGAGGCCCAACATCTAAAGAGAACAAAATCATTGTCTATGGGGAAATTGGACAATACCTGGAGAAATATTACACTGTGCATAAACCAAATTGAACTATTTTTAAAGTGTTGTAAAGTTTCACTTGGTAAAAGGTTTTTTCTACCTGCACTTCAGTTTCGCAGCGAGAGTGGCACGGAAGACCTAAACAGAGGACAGCATTCATGCAAGACGTGTGGGTGCGTTGGTGAACAGGCTTCACGGAATTCTTACGAGAAGACAAGAGGCTTTGAATCGCGTCAAACCCACCGTAAGCCCTAGCAAGCTTCGCCGGGCGCCGAGTCTCAGCAGGAGGGTGGCACCATGTCTTCAGAATGAAACTCTGACTACACAGCTTCCTCTTTGTCAGTTTTTGTCACTTGCGACTGAACTCTGCACGTCCTTCGAAAGTCTGTCCTACTCAGATCTCGGGTAGCGCAAAAGTATCCAGCTCCCTGGTGTGCGCTGCGCTGCTGGGGAGAACCAAACTCCCAGCTGCTTCTCGGTCCTTTCAGAAAAAACCGGAGACCAGAGAACAACCAACAACCACAGAAAATCAGCTACATTAAACCCGTCGCTGCCGCCACTGCTGCGGATTCTTCCAGCGGCGTTACTGAAGTTCAGGTTCCTTTTTTTGCTATCATGTTATATTAATTTTTTTAAGAACTAATAAAGTTTTCCTGGCTTTCTCTTGAGCGGAAGTTGAAGGTGAGTCTGTTGGAAACAGGCAGATACAGTTCAGGCTCCGGCGGCGGCCGCTGCCCTGTCAGGGAGCAGAGCGAGCGCCGGTGAATGTGGCCGGCCGCACTCTTGCTCAGGATTGCTTTGGGTCTTTTGTGAAGCCATACAAATTTTAGGATTTTTTTTTTTTCTATTTCTATGAAGCATGTCATTGGTATTTGGTTGGGACTGCAACAGTGCAGTTTTTAATGAGACGTACGTGGCCCACGGAGGACGGGTTCACAGTCTATCGCTGATTAGTCGAGGGCTTCTCCCCAAACCATCCCACAAACGGAGGCAGTGACCTCGAACTCCAGCCTTTAAAAAGGTGCTCGTTATCTTCAATGTTGTTGAATAAACTACTACTGTTTGGATAAGACAATCACATTAACTTGAAACACCTCAACTGGCAAAGAGTTTGAAATTGGTAAAATATCGGAGAAAGAGTTATCTAAA